GCCTTGCCCTGCCCGCCCGGCTTGTCGATCGGACCTCGCTACGGCCCAAAGGCAGGAAGGAGGGAGGGAGGGCGGGGCAGGAGGGTGGGGAAAGGCGGAGAGAGGGCGTGCCTGCCGACGATGACTGGGTGTGGGCCTGCAAGGACGACGGGACGGAGCGAGCAATCGGCCGTTACCAAGCGGCGCGCGTCCGGTCCCCGACGGCTCGGCAACTCCGGACTGCGACTGCGCACTAGAGCGGGCAAAGACTGTTTCACTCAGCGATTACACCATCAACACAGCCAGTCGAGTTATTACTGAAAAACGAGAAAGAATCAGTGAAGACACATGGACTTGTCCCGCATTTATTCCAACCCAATTCCATCCAACATTGTTGCACAGGATGAAAGAAACGAATAATATTTGAAGGAAAAAGAATTTGCCTCAACACAGCGATGCATTCTTTCCGCGACTTCTGCCGACGTTTTCGAAAAGTTAAAGAATTAAAGAGATGGTTGAACCATTTGATGTGTACAAACCTGCCCAAGGTTAATTCAGATCACTCGACTGATACAGCCTCGACAAAATGCGACTCAAACAAGTAAGAATAAGTAAGAAACAAAAATACGCGCACACGTGCACACAATGCGGCGTTTGAAATCTTAATGTTAATCACTTGGCGTGCGTGTGCTCCTAGCAATCACGCCCACGCCTTTAGCACGCGTGCTTACGACCACGAACGCGCAGGAGTTTAATTTACGTCTCGCGCAGGCGGCACATTCGCGTCCTTTACGGCGCTGTCGCACGGCGTTTGTTGCCACAAAGAGCACGCGTATCAACACGCTGTGCGCGTGCCCATTGTTTTGCCTGTCGCAGCGCCGCGCCGCGCCGCGACGTCTGCACGGATGGCGATCAGCTGAGCCCGGCGTCGCGCCGCTTCGACCGCTTGCCAGCGCCCCCTCCGCGCTTTGTGTGCTCCGCGCGTTCACGCGCCCAACCGACAGCTCTCCGCAGATACGTATAGTGTAGGGATGCGATATCAAGGTCGACGTTTTCAAAACATTGTTTTTTTAATAGAAGCTTGGATGTTTTAAAAATCGACCTATTAAAGCCGAGGCTCTTTTAATATTGATGTTTCATGCTCGATGTAATACGTTTTCGATGCTTTGATTGTAAATGAAAAAATTCCACAGTCACAATTGTGGAAAAGTTGAAATGTGACTGATTATTGTCAGGTTATGTGTACGAACCAAACAAACAGTGTTGTATTATCTTAATAGATCAGCCAGTGTTATTATTATTGTTATTATTAATATTAATATTATTATTTAAATTTGGTTTTCTGTTGCAAAATGGATAAAGGTTGAATGAAGTAGTTTCATTTAAATTATCACTTAAAAATCTATTTAATTTTGAGGACTTCGTTTACAAAAATAAATCATTTATTAAATTAATTTCAGCACATCAAAGATCACCTTAACATTGAAAGGATCTGCACAAAAATATTATGCCATAATAGAACCTCTTGTCTTCACTGTCAATATCTAACTGTAACAGATTTTGCCCAACTGCTCACTTGGTTTCGAACGATGTTTAATGGAGACACTGGCCTCGCGCCAAGTACTTTCACCAAATGCCACGAGGCCCAGCGGCGCCCAGCGGTGCGCAGACCGATCGCGACATTCGAGCTGCAGCCGCGTGTGCCAGCACTGCGAGAATCTACGCTCATCTCTATCTCACCTGATTTAATTTGATGCCCTAATATAAAATCTGTGTGGAATTTCAGCCTCATCAGAATGTTAACTGCCGGTGCAAAGCGATGGGATCATTTGAAGGAAAATTTAATTAAATAACGTTATTTAAATCAAATGAATGTAAGATCTATAATATTTATTACGTAAAGTCGCAGCATCTTGATTATGCAACAAAAATAATGTGTGTGAATAGATTGGATAATAAAATTGATTTCTCTTATAAATTTCAGAAAATGTACCTCAGCAATTGGAGTAGGTACAGCTGCAAATAAATTCATTATCTTCATTCACTTTAATATCATCATTTCGTAATTAACCTGAATTCGATCGGCAATTCTTTCCTTTAATAGTTCACGGAGAAACACCAATCTCTTTTTGAGAGTACTGTCTTATGAAGTATAAATTCAGTCGTAAATGTAAGTGAATGCATCACATGCTAAATAAAACATTAAGGTGTTTTATGCTGGTTGCACTGAGAATGACCAAAAAATTCGCCAAGTCTGTGTGGAGCTCTCCAGAAGAAACAAGAAAATACGCCTAAGAAGAATAATCAAACTCTTTGTTCTCTCTCCCCACTCACACACCCGCTCTAAACTGACGAGGTAAAGGAGACACAACTATATCTTTCAAGCCTTGCCAATTGTTTAATATTTCCGGGCGCCTCGACTTCTATGGTAAGAGTCGTGATTATAGTCTACGTTATATCCTCGGACGGGGAGATGACGGTGTTAATTCCTCGCTGGATCATGAGATCCGGCATCGCCCTATAAGTCGGTTTGTCTGTTTTCCTTCGTCAGAAATATTCCCCCAACGGAATACCGCCCTTCTTGGGATCAGGTCTTAGCGACCGACTAAACTTCGGACATATGTGCTAGTGTAAAGACAATATTTCATGTTCAAAATCAACTGCTTTGAGCGAGGAACAAAAATACATTATTATAATCTACCAATCACATGAAACAAATTGTCAACAGTACACCATGAATATTAAATTCCCCGGAACAAGTCATAAATGTATAATCAATGCGTAAATCGAATCTCACTGGTATGCTATGATACTGAGTAGAAAAGTACAAGCCTTAATAATTTTTAATGGCATTCATTATCGAATATTTAAAGTGTTGTAAAATTCTATTAGCAGAGCACAAACACAAGAGACGCTATCTACTACAGCTCATACATTACGTAGCATTTCTTCAATATGCAGATTTAATTTTCCATTGCCATTTGATTCCTCTGGGAGACCATATATGTTTCGTAGAATTTTGTTTTGGACCACAAACCTATCAGTGGATTTTCGAATTAAACGAATGTTCTCATTGGAAAAATGTGAAGAACATTCTCACCCACATAAAACGATTCTTAAGATCTATGGCAAACTTAACAATACCGAGAATGTATAAGCTCCTTGTTATGCCACGGCATGATGATTTCGTGCACTTATACAAATCTTTCGTACAGGAGCTCACAGGAAACGTATGATAGAATATGAAATTCTTCTCATTGAACTGTAGTAACTCATGTTTAATCAACGTTCCCTTCCTACAAACTTCTCAGACACCTTGACGATATATTGTCCCGTTTTGACAACTGGCACCTCAATATTTATACATACATATTGCGCACTCCAAGAAAACATCGCCCGAAGATGTTTGCTTTATCATGTGTACTTCATGTGTAAGTTACTGGTTCTTTGGCACTCAATGCATTAGCGACAATACGAAGTATGCTTTAGCTATAACTTTACAGCATACATGCTGAAAGGAATAAATTTCTCACCTAGTCATGTGCATCGTGGTGACAAGGCTAAATGTGTGTTAAATTGATTTTGCTAATGATGATAATGATGATGATGATGTGTCATTCATGAGCGTTCGCAGGGAGGATGATTGCCCGCTTCCCAGTGGATGATTGTTTTTTCCTTCAACCGTGTTGCAGATAGTAGGGTACCATCAAAGTTAATAACGATGAATGATAATGTGTAGATGGTGTAAGATGCCAACCATGCCACAACATAATGTAAACACCCACATCTTACATTCAACCCAAACCTGCCCTCAGTGAGTGCATTAAGATTCCGGATTAAGTACAGAGGCCAGGAAGACTTTAACTGCCGACTGGTTTCCCGAAATTAACGAGAGTGTAGTGCATGTAAGGTTAGGTGTTTCAATGTAATCTGAGGGGAGGAGACAAGGACAGGGAAGGAAATATCACGCGCAGTTAGTCATGCGCCTGGTATTGATCGAATATCTCATGGGAAACATCCGATCAAAGCAACATATTGCTAGAGTTGTCCTCCAGACAAAGGCTAAATTCGACTACCTATTTAGCTAGTGTCGAAAACTACCACCGTCGAAACTCAAACCAAAGCACCTTCCGGTAATCGACGCTGGGCACGTGTGAGACAGGATTTTCGACTAGATAGTGGAATTCAGCCCTGTCTTTAGGAGATGTCTAGCGGCCGGCTGCTCAACACCAGGTGAATACAGGAGCAGTTTCATAACAAACGGGCCACGGATCGCAGTCGATCTTTTCTTCCTCTTACCTGTCCTATCCTCATCTCTAACTTACGCAGTACACTAGGTAGTGTATTTCGGTAGCTTAGAGCTTTGCGCGGCTGGAGCGGTGTCTCGCTGGCGGGAGATACCTGACTGGGAAAATCCCGACAAGAAGATGGGTTGGTCGGCGCCGGATCTCGCCATCCAGCGGGGAAGACCACCGCCTACTAATACGATAAAAACTTGCACTACACTTACGGGTCTAAGTTCCTTAGCAGGTGGCGCGCCCGGGATCACTAATCGACTACCTATGAATCGTCGAAATGGGCCAATGGCGAAACTCAAGCCCTAGGACGAGGATATTGCTGACAAATTGCCTCGAACCGGTGGAACCCGCGGTCACCTGCTATGGAACAGGCGCGATGGAAGTCGTTCCGACTCGCCCCCGCGCGTGCTCCGTCGGGCGCCCGCCGCAAGGCCGGCGCTGAGCGGCGCTGAGCGGCGCTGAGCGGCGCTGAGCGGCGCCGCGGCGTCGGAATGCGACCAAGGACGCGCGGCGCCGCGGGCGCCGCTGGCGTCGACGCGAAACGAAATCGCGCCGCGCCGCGACGGCCCTCTGCCAGGGAAATGATGGAAACGCAACCGAAATAACGACGGGAAGAGGAAATAGAACCACGCGCCGAGCACAAAGACAGCTATCTACTCCAAGGTTTATCCACGGCTTAATGGATGTTTTAAAATAGAAAGATGAAATTAAATTACTTTCTAATTAAACTTCCAGTCATAGCCGTAGGGGCTTTATTTAGAAACGCTGATTTTGTACTATGCTATCGCTACTCTCCGGGGTATTGAAATAACCTAGTATTAATCTATTATTATACTATAGAATTGGTGGTAATTAAATAAATGGTTGTTGCTCTGGGAAAGTGATGCTGGCGATGATAATGATGATAATGTTTCAGGGGATTGTGTGTGTTTCGGTTGTGGCGGAGAAGTATAGATGGCCTTGGTGACGATGGTGGCCTTGGGAACTGTGGTGGCGATGGTAGAAGTGATAGTGATGGATGAATTGACGGCGATAGAGGCATTTTTAGTTGCTGTTGCTGTTGGTGTAGGAGTAGTGGTGTGGTGGTGATGGAGGTGGCAATGAGGGTAAGTTTTTGATAGCGTACCGTGTCTTAATGCGCGTTTTCATCTTAATTACCCCAGATCCTTCGACCCCCAAATCCCGGGGATCCCCCCCCCGCCAGCACTCGGGTGTCTGCGCGTGCACACAATCGGCCGGACCCTTATCAGCGTGCCGAGGGCGCGGAAGTAGGCGCGCTTTCCGCTGCGGCGCGGCGACCGCGGCGTTCTGTGGGAGAGACCGCGCGCCAGTGACAAGTGGCGCGCGACCCAGCGGCCGTGCTCACGGAGAAAAACCACGGCGCCGCCACCCCCCACCCACATCCACTCCGTGCCGAAAGCCCGACCACCCGCCCGCCCGCCCTCATCGCCTGCCCCACTAAATCCTTTTGACAACGAAGCCCATCTGCCCGCCCCTTTACATACACACCACGCCCGCCCACCCGCCCGCCCGCCCTTCGCCCACACCCCTTCACTTTCCTCGCCCACAGCCCACCAAGAGACCCTTTCACATGGACCATCCACCTCCACACCTACACGATACTCACCCCTACCCCATCCACATCCTCTTTACCCAGTTCACCGCCCATTCTTCTACCACGCCCGCCGCGTCTATCTAATTCCTTCGGCCCGTCCACCTACCCATTTCTCTCCCTCGCCCCCCATCCCGCCCCCCACCCGCCTGTCCCACTCGTCCTTCCAACCCCTCGCTCGCCTCTCCACCCGTCCATTCACTCCCCGCCTGTCCAACCCCTCCGCTCACCGGTTCCACCCACCCAATCACTCCCTCGTCCCACCCGCCCAAGCACTCCTTCTCCACCCTTCCCAATCACTCCCTCGCGATCCGTCCAAACACTCCACTCGCCCACCCCGCCCCAATCACTCCTCGCCCACCCTTCCACCCGCCCAATCACCTATCTCGCCACTACCGCCCAATCACCACCCGGACCATCCAACCTCTCGTTTAAGCCCGTCCACCACCAAAACACCCCCCCCCGGTAGCGCGCACCTTGCCTCTTATCAGCTCCCTTTATCCACCCCTCGCCACACTTTCGCCTGATCACTTACGCACCTCCCCCCTCACCTTTCCACCCCTTGCCTGCACTCCCGCCTCCGCTCCTTTGCTCTCTCATGCCCCCCCCCGCGGTTCTCGCGCACTGGTTCCCTCACCTCTCTCCTCTCCCTTTCCCTCGCCCGCCTGCCAGCCCGCTCGCCAAGCGTGAGGCCGCCTTGTGCAACGGTGCGCCACGGCCCCGGCGAAATAGCGCGACTGCGCACAGGATGCTCCGCACACTACACTACTGACCCATTCACAAGGCACGGCAACACGAGGGCCTATCACAAACGCCGATCTGACTTCAACCGGGTGCAAATACAAGATTTTTATTTACACGTGACCGCACTCGTGGTTTCTTTAACGCAACACAGTTTCGCCACGGAAATCCAATTGTGTCATTTATTCGTAAATAATATGGCTTAATTTACATTTGAGCTAAATGTCATATAGTGAATGATATTAATTTTTTTATTTTTTGATAAATTTAATGATAAACATTTCTTTACTATGAGAACCGTTTGTAATACTAAACTTGTGTTCTAGAGAACGAATTTATAAATAATCGTTTTCGGTTTTGATACCAGGTAATTTCGAATAA